TTCGAGCTAACAAAAGAGCATCAACTACTCGAGGCTGGCCAGGTCTAATAGGCACGCCCGCAGCAGCAACAAGATGTGTTGACAGGAAGACAACAGCGAAATGGCAAAGGCCATAAACGAAAATGTGCAAATGGCTTAAACGGCACTAAAAATTTGATGTGAAGCCACCTACACGGACCACGCCCCCAAAGAACACTTGCAGTTATGTAGGTAGCACAGTGGGCGAATGTCAACATGTGTTTTTATTATCAGACATGCAGCTGCTTGCTGCACTCAGTAATCGCGCCACGTGCGCCCCAAATGGAGCTCTTAATTAAGAGCCCCAAATGCCAAGTGCAACCAAAAGGAAACGGAAATGACAGCTGCAGCCGCCTACGGACGGCGTACTGCCGTTTAATGCCGCTACCATAAATCTGTCCGAATACGCCAGAGTAGGGGCTATATAAATATACGACTGCGATAGTCGCGTGAATTGCGACTTTTATGGCCTTCAGCAGGCAGGCCAAGTGAATTTAATGCCAGCTAATTACTTACTTATTATAAAAGTGTTTAGTTGGGGAGAAATTTATTTTATTCGCAATAATAAAAACCCTTATCATTGGGCTAACAGCTGCAAAATTCGCTTATCGCAAATTTGTATAATTGATTTTAATTTATTTTACCTCATCACAATGGACACACAGCTGAAAAGAATGTTGATAAAAATTCACATTCAAAATGCTTGGTTTGGCTTAGGTCTTTGCCTCGTCAATTGGCTGCTTAACTTCAGTATCTTCTCTAAAGAGTCGTTTTTCTCTAAGTTTGTATATTTGCTAATAAATGCAAATTATCATAAATAAAGTCAAACGTGTTTATGCTTTATAATTAATTGGGAATTCACTCATATTGTAGCGCAAAACTTATCAACATTAAAATCAAATGTCATTAACAAAATAATAAGATATAATATTATGTTCTACGTGAGTTTTTCCTTTTGGTTTGAATTTTAGATTTATTATTATTAACGAATAATATAATACATTTGTTTAATAGTCTTATCTATTCTTACTTTAACTTACAAAACGCAGGAAACTGTTTAATTCTTATGCCCAGTTAGTTGTTTACTAAAATTACAGGACATTACACAATTTTATCCCGTTGTACACTCTACAATTCAATTAGCAAGCACTTAGTAGCTGTTTTACGCGGGGCATCTGCAGTTTTTAGCTCCTTAGCTCGTTCGGTTCTGTTTAATGTTTACCCCGTACACACGGCAGCTACTGGCTGTAAACATGTGGAGCGAAAGCAGCCAGCAGCATTTTTACCTGCAGCTTCCAACTGAAATTGCTAGCCGATGATAAATTGCAGGCACTGTAATTAAGAATGCGGCCAACAGACTTTTCTGTTTGCCACACCCAAATCCGTCTCTCCCTCTCTATGCGTTGAGAGATCTGAGCTCTGGGCATGTAATAAACAATTCCAAATGGTATTCGAGTTGACAGCGTGACACTAAAACGGTAATTGCATGTAAACATTTCTTTATATGCGTCGCTAGCAGGTTTTTGGGCGGAAATGGGATGGATAATTAGATATGTAGCATGGGTGATTGAAGACCCGAGCCACGTTGTGCTCCAAGTTGATTATGTACATCAAATGCTGTATGTATAAGATGGAATACAATTCATAGCAGTGTATAGAGTTTTAAAACATAAGCAGTTAATTGATTACGATTCGAATGTGATGCAAGAGCAAATTAAAAATTGACATATGTAAAATAAAATGAAAATATGCCTGATAAAATTTTGAACATAAAGTGGTAAACAGTTTGAGCATTCTTTGCTGATATAAATGCATATATACATATGCCAGATAGACTTCAAACATATTTTACTCTCTCTGCTGAAATATATGCTATTTAACATATTTTAAAGTATTTGAATCAGCACGTGGCTTTCGATATTTATGGCAGATAATTTCAAATAAATTGCTTCAATTGATTTCCTTTTACAAAGACAGATTTAAAGTAATGGGAATTAAAACAAGGAAAAATTCTTTATATGTTTATTTGTCCCTGCTATCTCAAGTTAAATTTACCATAAATATTTAAAAATGATTTTGAATGCCGAATTAAGAACCAAAAGCTGGAATAAATATATTCCGCTCATTTTAGAGCCGTGGTGGCTTGAAGCAAAAAATAAACTTTCACTTTCATGCTGGAGAGATTTTGCGAAATATGTGAGATACATCATCATGAATATTTGAAAAAACCTCTCGGAAAATGAGTTTGAGACTAAACTTTAGCAAAAAATGTTGTTAGATCGTTTTTTTCACAACTGCAGGTGGAGTTAAAACTCCGTCTCAGCCTGCACCTTAAGACAGATTTCTAGCTCCTTCGGCGTAAGCTCTACGTTGATCACCAGTCAGTTAGTCTGGACAAACAGTTTTATATATATTTATTTTCCAATTATCTTTCAGCCTATTCAATTTTTACGAATATGCCCAGGGTCATCACAAAAGTCATAAATGAACATTTCGTGTCAGTCTCTGTTTGTTTGCTAATGTCACTGGCAGAACACTTTGATGAAGCTGTAATTGTTAATTTCCCAACTACTTTTACCAGTTCCCATCGATAGATGGCGCTGTGCCTTATTGACTTTGGCAACGAACTGCAGCTGCAGCTGCTCTAACTGCAAACACGAATAACGAAAAGTGCGATGCAAGCATCACGGGTGGGGGAGGGGGCAGCAATTTACAGTTATGAAAAGCGGTGCCAACACAATTGCAATAATTTAACTTCCGTTTCATGGCGGCATTTTGTGTTTCCGTTTATGTTTCGCTGCCATTGCCATTTCCGCTGTCCGCCGTTCGCCGCAATCTGTTCGCAGTAGTTGCAACTTGTTGTTGTTGCTGTTGTTGGGTCCCACGTTTTACGCTTCATTCAAGCGCGCGCCTTTCGCCACTGACCACACCCCCTTCTAGCCCAGCTCTCAACGCCCACGCAACTACAATAGCCAGCGCCAATTGCTTTGGCACCGAAAAACAGATTCAATGTTCCATGTCCTGCTACATGTTTCCATGGCTTTGGCTTCTGTAGCTGTTCCAAATGAACGATGTCCTCTTCGCTGTTTTTCCACTATTCCTCTCTCCCCTACCCTCTAACACACACATATAAACATTCTTATACACAGGATGCTGTGGACTGCATTCTTCGCCGCCGAAAGCATCGTAAATTATTCAAATTTCAAGTCGTAAATAAGCGCGCTTAAACATAAGCACAGTCGCCGCCTGGCGCTCAGCCTAAGCCTCTGCCGCTGCCCCTGCCCCTGCCACTTGGCACGCCCACGCAGGGCATCTTTCAGATCAGAAATGTTGCGCTCGAGCCGCCCTTCCTCCCTGGGCGTCTGCCCACACGCTTGTGGCAAATTGTCGAAATTATTGAAAGACTTTTGATCTGTCGACGCATTCGATGCATAGTTTTTGGCGCCTGCAATTGACATTACGCACAAAACACGAATTTTCAACCTTAAGAGGCCCTCAGACAACACATCACCTTCAAAGGTAACCGGCTCCTGACTTTGATTGGCATTTTGAATGCTCACGTGCCATTTAACGCCCTGCCCCCACCGTATTCACTCTGCCGCATTGACATTTTGCAATCAGCGCTCAGGTGACTTTCATTCGATTATATAGAGCAAAAGCAAAAGCATCTGCTGATCTGTTTGCCACACGTGTTTGTAATGTGTTTGGGATTTTTGAATTGAACTACTTGGCATTTGATTGATTGATGGCCTATTCTCTTGTTTATTTTATTTGTTTTCACACGCTTTTCAGCTATAACATTTATTTTGAAGACAGATCAAGTATGAAAAACCTATTTAGATTAAAATGGGGGTGTTTCCTGAATCACAGACAATTTATCGATTACAAGAAAATGTAGTTTCGTATATATCCTCGAATCAAATGCTTAAATTACTTATTCGTTTATTTTTCTGTGCAATTTCTCTAGTTTATTAACTTGTTTTTTAACAAAAATGTACTATTTAAAAAAAAAACATTGGAAAATCATCTGATTTTGAATTCATATTAAATATAAATATTCCCTTATGCCATACACACCACGTGTTTATTATCTCGATATAAAAATGTGCAAATTTGTTTTATTAAAAATAACTCAAGAACTATTAGAACTAAATACACAAAATTAAGTATGTAGACTCTCGTATAATATACACAGATTAGGAATATTTCACTTTTTGAATGCCTCGGAAGGATATCTTCAGGATACTCTCGTATACATTTCCCTTTTGCAGATATGTGAGACTACTGAAGCTCGTAAATGCAGAGTTAATTTTGTATATATATGACGATCATAAGGGTACCCTCTAGTCGGGCAACTCAAACGAAGGTAAATACCAGTATTTTTATCAAACTCCGTATTCTGTTTGAAAAGTGTAAAACGACAGGTTCGACGACATACGGAGAGCAACGAATATGAACTTTATCTCTTTTGCCTACAGAGTATAATACAAATTGCTATTAATTGCTTTATATACGAGCTAATAAGAAAACTAAGCAAATAAATAAACGAATACAATTGGGTATTACATAAAGCTTATCTTCAGATAATAAATTAAACGCAAACAAAAAACAAACACTCAAATCTAAGACACGTGCGACCTTTGAGCGCCATTCCTCGATAACTTTGTTATGAATTGTGCAGCCAGGTGCATCCGTTATTATTCAAAGATATCGTAATTGAATTGATATCTGATTTTCAATAATAATATAATAACATTTTACTACTTACCATATCAGAGTCACATGGACTGTTGATCTGGGCCACATCGGAAGAAGTTTTTTTATAATTTGTTGTGATAAAGACATTTATTACGCATACGTTTTGTTTATATTATCTAAAAATTTATTTTTTTTTGCAATTAATTTAATCGAATAAATAGGAAAACTACTTCCAATATATACATAGATAGGCGTCGAAGACTTTGAGCGCGCCCAGCGCCCACTTACTTCATGCGCGCCTCAAACTCCTCCCTGGCCAGACTTCTCATGAGCTTACCATTCTGGTTCCTTGGTATCACATCTACAAACTGTACCCCGGAATGGAGCTGCTTGTAGTCAACGACAACACGCTGGGCGACATGTTCAATGACCTGCTGCTCGGTAAGCGGCGAGCCGGACTTTTTGATGACCAGGGCGCCAGCTGCATCACCATTTCTAATATCCCGCACACCCACCACACAGACATGTAGAACATCGGGCAGCTCGGCGATTATTTGTTCGAGCTCATTGGGCCAATAGTGTTTGGACTTGTATTTGAGCAGATCCTTCTTGCGATCCACGAGGTAAAGATTGTTGTTACTGTCAAAGTAGCCTAGATCGCCGAGATTGATCCAACCATTCTGCAGTGTGGCCTCCGTGTCCACGGGATTGGCCACATAGCCCAGCCAGTTGGAGCCAATGTCAATGAGCACCTCGCCGACCTCATTGTGGGCCAGTTTGTTGCCATGCTCATCGATAATCCTGATGCGCATACCCGGAAAGATTCGGCCCACTGAACTGTCCAGGCTGTGATCAATATTGACCGTTATAGCACCCGTTTCGGTGGTACCGTAAGAGAAGGCCACAATGGATTTCTTCATGAGGCTCTGCGCTCGCTGCAGCACCTGCATCGAGATCCAGCCACCGGTGATAAAGGAAAATCTTATAGAGTCCAAGGACTCTTCTGTGGCCAGCGGATTGGTGAATACCTCATAGGCCTGCCAGGGTGCCAGCACAAGCGTGGTGGCCTTATACTTCTGTATCATCCCAATGAACTTCTCTGCATTGAAGCCCCCATCGAATAATACGCGTGGCACCCCATAGAGTAATCCAATTGCGATGGCGATGAATCCCGTCGCCCAATCGACAGTCGCATGCGTCAACAGCAGGTCTGTGCTTTTGCAAAATCTAAGAGGAGTGACATTTCAATTATACTAGACTATGGCATTCAAATCAGGCTTGGCTATCTTACGGGGCTATTTTGGTAACATGCTTGTGGGATAGAGCCACCGCCTTGGGCAGACCCGAGGTTCCCGATGAGCACAAAATGAGGGCCGTCTGATCGCCATTCTTATTTAATGAAGCGGGTCTGTAGGAAGAAGAATAGGTAACGATTAGTTTTAGGCAGCCCCTTTGGCTCATCAAAATGCCACTCACTGAAATAAGTGCTCGCCAGCTACGGGCTGCAGCAGATCCTCAATAAAGCGAACGCCCTCTACTCGACCTGTCAGGGTTATAATTTTGGGCGCCCAATCCTTAGTGACTTCTTTAATGCGCTCATAGTCGGATCCATCGCAGAAAATGATCTTTGGCTTTGTCACCAGAAAGAGGGTAGCCACGGTGGGGGCATCTCGCGTGGCATTCACCGCATGGAATGGCGTTGCATTGAAGAAGCAGGCCACGACCAGGGGCCCCACATAGGTGCTGGAGTTGCCAATGATGCCAACGACATCCTCTTGAGTCAGCTTCTCCTGCCTCAGGTATAGAGCCAAGCGTGTGCCCCATTGGGAGATTTCCGCATTGGTCACTTTCCTGCCGTCCGAATCGTTGATCTAAATCGTGGTGAGCAGCTAATCAAATTTGAGCTTCTTCTGTTAAACGGGCTACGTCATTTACCTGGACAACTTGATTGGGCCAATTCCTTAGGGCTGTGTAGAATACTTCACCCACGGAGCAGTCGGGATCATAGTATGGACGCCTTCTGATGCCACTCCAGGTTTTGGTCTCCGCATCGTAGAGCGTTGGAAACAAAGCTTTAGCTGCCATTTTGTTTGCTTCAATGCAAATCAAATATTGAATAACTTGAGTTCAACGACTGCCCTTATATATCGTTAGACCCTCCTTCATTCCATATCATATCATGCCTAACATATTGATGCTCTACCGATATGAGCCCAGCTGACTTATTGGTTTCGGTTACTGAGTAGATCCGCTAAAGCATATTAAAAAGATTAGCTTTCCGCATAGTTTTATCTAAGGGGGTTCTTCTTGGCCAATACGAACTCAAACACCTTAAAAGTCAGCTGATATTTGTTTGCACTCGAATTAAATTCTTTCTGGGAATATGTCCTTATCTCTTGCCGCTAATTTACTTAACTTATTGTGGCTATCGTCACGCTTTTATTGCGTCAGTTTTCTATTTGTGAAACTATAGATTACAAATTTTGACGTATATTCTCTGATTTAATGACCAAATGCAATCGGCTTCGCCTAAAATTTGCTTAAAACGAGAGATTCGTAAAGTATTCGTTGATTTTTACTTTATATTCATATTTAATTTAATTCGATTTTAATTATTTTTTTGAAGTGTGGCCAATAAGTAAAGATAATATATGCATATGGAGAGAAGAGAAATATATGGTAAATGCCTTATCATAATTTTTCTGCCTTCCCCTATTTCTTTTTTCTTTTCTTCCATTGAACACAAAAAGATTTAAATTAAACCTTTTAAGTTTTATGTTGGCAACATTGAATAGTTCCAGACTTTAGATATTTATGTGGCTTCATAAAAATAATTTTAACTAAATTACCATTTCAAAAACATCTTTAAATTTTAACTGCATGCGGAGCGTAATTCTGCAACTAAAATAGTTCACTTTGTACATACATTAATTATATACTTAGACACTTTTTATAAACTCCATAAAATTACAGCTACAGACTTTTCCGTTTTTAACTGAGTTACAAATAATGTGTAGGATTTATTATTACATTATTATCCTTAAATTAGAAAATTATATGAGCTTAAACAAATCTCGGCCATTTTTAAACAGAGATTGTATCGAAATTTTGAAATTGCCTTTTAATGAACAAAACTAGTGCAGTTGGGTGCTAGCTTTGAGTTTTATTGTTATAATGTAATGCTGTGTAGTAATTTATGCACGCCTCTCTTCCATGAGTTCCCCTTTCCGACACAAAGCAATGTTGATGTTGCTCGAATTGCCCCATGCTCCACGTCGAGGGGGTCTGCGCTGCATGCATACATTAACATCAAATTACGCCCAACAACAAGGGCAATTTTTACAAAAAACTCTTTTGGGGCGCGGCGAATACTATTTTATAGTACTATATGAAGAGGTCTGAAATTGGTATAAAAATAAAAGAATGCAAATTGGACAGAGTTCATAGTTCCTTTGTCTACTTAAAGGTCCCGAACCACGCATAGCTTTAAGGACTAAATGCCGCAAGACACAAGTTAATTTCAATGAATTTAATGGACTCTCTATTCGCTGGTTTCGGTGGTTTTGGTATTGGTTTCGGTCTTGGTTTCAGTTTCGGTTAGCTGACCGCCAGGCAGCTGTTGTCCATTGGATAATTTGCTTTGTCATGCGAAGCAAAAGTCGCACCATATTGACAGTTGATAAAGCACATTATAATTATACATACACGCACACACACACACGCACACACAAATGTGCAATCCCCACAAAGTGTGTCCGTCTACCCCCTTTTCAGTCAGCCAATTGTTCTTGATGTTGTTTAGAAGGGTTGGCAGCGCGTAATTTTAAGCTGTTTACCTTTACAATTTAATGTTGTTGTTCAATGCTGTAGAATGCTTCTGATTTGTGGTCTGTTTGCCAAGATATCGACCTGATTAACACTCACCAGCTCGGAGCTTAAAATGCTCAAATAACAACTTCAACATTGACCTCAAACCATTTTTTTTTAAATTAATAATAAGAAATTAAATCATAATTGTAATAATATAACATTAGAACGTTGTTTAAATAAAATGTATTAAAAAATTCAATAAAAGTAACTAAATCATTTAAATTTTTTTTTTTATAATTTCAAAGTTATTTTTAAAAACCCCTTTATTAAAAATGTTCCTTGTTAAATGCACATAAAAATAAAAAATGTATATACTTATAATTAAATATAGTATGCAATGCATACTACTTTCCAATTAAGCTGCGGGGTCGCTTTCTGGTAACTTATACAGTGGCATTGGGCAAATATCGCACACCGTATTTACTAGTGTTTGCCCCTAACAAATACGGGGGTCGGCGTCCCTGACCTTAGACAAGAAGCCAAATTTGCGTGCTGGCGTTATCAGCGCGTGTTTTCACGCTTATCACACTTGTTGGAGGCGCCACGTGCTCGATGCTCTCGATGTCGACCTCCGGAACTGTCATAAATCTTGCATACATGCGGAGCGCATGCGTCAAACGTGTTCCAATGCCACAGCGTTCCGCCTGGCCGTTAGAAACATCGCGCCATTCATAAAACCGGGCGATGTTCTTGCCGCGCGAAATGCTGCATCTGGGCAGGACGACTAGTCCTGGTCCTGGATCTCGGGCACGGGCAAACAGTTTGCGGTGATTCCTAAGACGGAGCGGTTGCAACAACGGCAAAAGATATTTGGTGAACGATAAACTTGAAACTTAGCCAAATGTTGAGCTGTAAGCGAACTCAAGACGTATCTAAAGTAGATTAATTATGCATTAGCGAAAACATTTAAGAAATTAGACTATATACAAAATACTAGTATTTTAAGCAAGCCAGTTGGTAAATTCGGGGCAGCTAAGTAAATAATAAGAATTGTTCCGATATAAAAGTTTCCGTTCAAGTGTTGTTAAGTGTGGCAAAGTTAGCCGTGAAAGTTAAGTGCGCTCGTAACTCGGCCAGAATTTGCGGCAGTTGCCGTAACACGTTGCCACAACTGAAAACTTTTTTTGGCCAGCCTCTGTCAGACAGAGCGACAGGCAGACAGCGAGACAGCGGAACAGGCAGCTGAGCAGTTAGCCCTTTAGTTGCAACTCCTGTCAGAAACTGGCGGGCTAACATTTTCCAGTTTTGACAACAAAATTTAGTTAAACAACGCAACGGTGTCGTGCGCGACCGGATACGGAAGTGAACTTGCCGCAACAATTTCGGGCTGCGCTGCTTGCACTGAGCTCCGACCAACAGCCAGCCAACAGTCGCTTGACGGACACACACGCACACACATACAGCACCGACAACGCATACGTGAGCGTGTGATGTGAATGGTAAGTGCAAGTGCTCTATGCCATGACTAACGGTACAATTTCCACCGGTTTTCACCGGCTTTGCTTTTTGCGCTCTATGAAATATATTTTTTTGTTCTTACTCAGCCACCTACGAACTGCAATTTCTAGTTTGTTGCTCCTGTGGCTTTGGTTTGCTTAGAAACGCTTGACAATGTTGTTATTTCTGTTGTCCAGGTTGTTATTTTTGTTGTCGTTGTCATTTTCGAAGTCGTAGTGGTTGTCGTTGTTGTTTGCCTAAGCCCTGATTGCTGTTTTTATGCGGTTGTCCTACAGGTAGAAATTGCAGCCACATTTCTGCGTGTTCAGGCTACAGAAAATGTGGGTTATTGCCAAAAACCATAAATTGAACAAAATGTTGTGGCCATGTTCAGAGTGCAGCTGGCATTTCACATTTATAATTAGCAGCTGACTCTTTAAGCGTAACTCATTAAGGTGGCCTGATTAGCCATGTTTTTAATTGATAAAGTATTTTGTTAAATCTTTTTATTTGTTTTGCTTAACTGAGGTCTTGGACAAGGTGGAAAATAAATACAAATTGTCTTAAAATTTAATTAAAATTTATTTAAGTTTAAAAAATGTTGTTGGTAGCAGATAAAGCTGTCAGACAGTAGAAAAACTCTATCACGGCTGCTAATTACTTTAAAATTGTAAAATTTATTTGTGTAAGCCTTAAAAAATTGATATAACAACAACTGGAATCTATTTATGACTATTTCTTAAACATAGTTTATACATAAAAAATGAATATAATGAATATAATAATTGATGTGAGATAATATTTAATTGAAACGAAGAATAAAATCAGAAACTGTTTCGAAACTCTAAAAGGGTTTGCTTTAAAACGTAGATTCATCTAAAAAATTGATAAATGCTTATCAGCATTTCCACCGAAAAGAAAACACAAATATTTTTGAATTTTATTTGAATTAATATTAGACGATTTAAATAAATAAATAGTTGTGTATGATCACAGCACATACAAAATATCTTTATTAAATATTTGATTGACTTTTTTTTTAAATTTTACTGAAATCTTATGCACAGGGCAATACAAAGATCTCGGTTAATTAAAATAAATTGAAAAGCAAAAAAAGCAAAAAACGAACAGAAATTTAAATACTCAGAATGAGTTTTTCATCGGTTTATTATTTTTATTTATTTCACATAGCATCAGAACCTATGACAAAAAATATTTTCAGAGAGAAGCTTTTCGTTTTCCGAACAAGAGGGTTTGTTTGCTACCATCACCCACTCCGAGTCCTGTTGAAAAAATACATTTGTGAAGTGGGGGAAAAAAAGATGAATGACAAGACTTAAATAGCACAAGAAAAATAAATAGGCATATGCAAAGGTAAAAAATTAAAAGCAAATCAAATTAGAAATGTTGCTGTGAAACGGCTTTTGATATTATATATGTATGCAGATGGAAGCACTTCAGCAACATTAATTAATAAAATCATTGAGCATGCAGAGTACAACAAAAATAAAATTAATTAGAAATCTTAAAATATCAGAAATTGCCAGAATTTTAAAGATGTCTTTAGAAATGTTGTGCTATTTCTTAGACATTTGCATGTGCCGAGTGTCCTTTGTGTGTCCTGTGCGTGTGTCGCGTGCTGAGCTTGTTATTTTTGGTCTAATTGTTAGTTTATTGCTGCCTTGTGTGCCGACTAATGGTCCAAAATGAGCCTGAATTCGCACAGGCGTCAGCTCCAGGCCCAGTTCTGTTCGGGCCACGCATAAATATGCTGCAGG